AGCTATGGTGTACTATGATAGAGCCTGTGAATAGCCACTGCACTCTAGCCTGGGCAACACAGTGAGACCCTGCCTCTAAAAGAACTGCTATTAAAACTGGGTCTATAAGAATATCTTTTTTAAAAAAGCAGATACCTTCACTAATTCTTACAAAAGAATGTAAAAAAAAAAGTGATAAAGCAAAGATCCTTAATTGCAGGCAGTATATATGCTGGATAATCCACTAGAGGGCAGCAAAATGCAGGATTTCTTTTTCTTTGACATCTGAACTCTGTAAAATTGCTTTAAGCTGCAAGTTATAAAACTATAAAAATTTAGGTTGAAGAACACAGACTAAAACTACAGACAATGAACCAAGTTATAAAAGGAGATATGATATACATAAATAGATGCTATAAATATAGAAACATTGTGAAGAGAAGACAAGATAATCCATCTGCACATTGGAATAGATATTAAATCTCATGCACATGATCTGAAAATTCGACTTTTTTCTCCAGAGACAAAAGTTATCAAATATATATTAGAGAGAGAAACTTGCAGACAATTATAGGAACACCTAAACATTAAAGTCTGAGTTCTTCTGCATAACATTTATTCATACTTTCTTAGGATCTGGGCCAATTTTTTTAAGCGGGCACGTGCCTCAATTAATTAAGAAATGACCAGAGCTCAGAAATCTTGGGTTTAATGCTTAATTATATGCTGTAAAGATCAATGTTGCTGTTTGTGGCATAAAAGTCTAATAAATAGAACTTACCATTGGTTTTATGCTAATATAAGAAAAATAATAAATATAGGTCATTAAAAACAAAGTAAAATCACATGTAGCAAAGATATAGTAAGACACTCTAGATTACTTTAGTAGTAGAAAATATCTTTGCTAGATGTAACTTTTTAATTTGCAGATTAGTATTTCAAAAATATTTTACAGTAATAAATGCTTGGAAAATCCATTATCATGTTGTAATGCCACATCAACGTATTTCTGGACTTTTCTACAGATTCAATATTTAATCATTTTGCTCATGTTATTATTAAAAGTTATTTTTCATTTTTTAGAGAAGATAACCTTTACTGTTTCATAAAGTTTCATTCTCTGTGACACTTTTATTTTTTCCAATTAAAAAAAGGCTTTTTTTTTAGTGTTGAGCACTTCACAGACTTTGCTTATATTCAAAAGCATTATAAGCTTATTTAACAGATTCTATTTTACTTTTAAAAGGACGAAGTTGTTACTGAAGAATGAGTTTGCTACAGTAACCAATTCAGTTCTGTGTAAGTTAAATAAAATTGTAAAATGACAAGCCTATAAATGTGGAAAACAGTAGGTATTTTAAAACTGCCCAAACAAGATGTTTAATTGAAACTGAAAGCACTAACTTTTACAGTCAATTCAAGAGTGGGCAAGTAAAAAAAAATCAATCCATTAAGTTCTCCTTCACAGCATCCTTGAAATGGTAGTGATATAAAACTACCTATAAAAGACCAGGATTTATGAAATTGTATTCAAAACAGGGAGAGATGAAGATGATAAACAGTTGCTATAAGAACACATGCATCTAACAAATGGCAGCCAATACATTGATTTCTAGGTTAATAAAAGTTTGAAAACACTGTCAGATAAATAATGCTTCACTGATCAATAGTTTTAGCTATAAAGTCTTTATAAGCACAAAAAAAATCTTTTAGCATAGTGATTGTGTATTTTTAAGTTGAACAAAACAGTATTTAAAAGTAATAGAATAAATTACCTGCATAGGCATTCCAAGAAACACAAACTAAAAATCTGCATAAAAAAATTCCATGATTATATATGAAATAACAAAATTCTTGCTAATGTTAAACTGCCCATCCCTTTACCACTAGGTCATACTATTTAAGACATTATACTATAGTTGCTGTAAAAATAATTATTTATTCATTTTTCTTTTTTGAGACGGAGTCTCGTTCTGCAGTGACACGATCTCGGCTCACTGCAACCTCCGCCTCCTGGGTTCAAGCCTGAACTTCAAGGTTGATTCTCCTGTCTCAGCCTCCTGAGTAGCTGGGATTACAGGCGCCTGCTACCACGCCCGGCTAACTTTTATATTTTTAGTAGGGACGGGGTTTTACCATGTTGGCCAGGCTGGTCTTGAACTCCCGACCTCAGGTGATCAGCCCACCTTGGCCCCCCAAAGTGCTGGGATTACAGGCGTGAGCCACCATACCCGGCCAAAAATTATGAATTCTGTGACCTGGCCAACAATTATCATGAATTCTGTGACTATTACATGGAAAAAGAATCATAAGCCTTGTCACTCTCTTGAAACCTCTGTATTGTCATAATAAAAACTTAAAACAGATTATGTCAGACAAGATAACTTATAAAACTTACTTTAATATTGCAAAAATGAAAAAGGAAATGGCAAACAGAATCATCTGATCTCACAAAAGGTAAAGAAATCCTAATCATCCATCAGAGGGTTTTTCCTGTTTTTTTTTTTTTCTTTGTTTTAATCAATTATTTAGCAAAGCTCAGAGATAACTAGAATAGATGCAACTGTTTAGATTTCAAACATAAGTTCCTGGTTTCTATAAAGGTGTTTGGCTTCTTTCAAATTTTAGCTTTTCAAAGCTGCAACTCAGGAAAGTAACTACGAATGAATGGGATTACTTTGGAAATAAGTAACTCAAAATCATTGTCAAAGAAAAACAACATTGAAATTGTTTCACTACTACTAATGAATTTTTAAACCTAGAAAATGCTATAGCATACATATCCATTAGGAGGTAACAGTATTTATTTAGGTGTTAGCAAATGTTGGATTCTTTTCAAATTCATATCAGAAGGATTTTAAGTCTACCAGCAGTAATAGACTATTAGCTGTTCTTAGGTAACCTACAACATTTGAAAGATCACAGCATTCTGAGAAGATGCAGAAAAATTTAAAAAAAAGAAGACTGCAGAATATTTCCCAGGATTAAGTAACTTCTTCTGTTGGCCTTAGTAAGTTTGAGCAAACTTTCTAACTAAATTTCATAAATTCATTAATTACAATGTAAAAGGCGCTAAATATTTTTTATGGATGAGCTCCCTCTGAAAGAACTATTATAAAAAAATTGTTTCCATGTCAAATTATTTTCTTTTATTGTTATTATATTGGACCCAATAATATTCTTTGAATACTCTGGACTATCAGATACCACAACTCTGAGAAAGATCTGCTCCAAGTTATTAGTTTCCTGGACCAGTTGAGGTTACATTCTGGGGAAAAAGTTCAAGACAATTGTATTCCCTCTCCTGACATGAGTGACATGAACTAAGAATACATTTCAATAAACTGAAATACTAAAAAACATGTGAAATTAATGCCAAGGAGGAGACTTTTTAGAAAACGGTCACTACATGTATATAGTGACAAAACCCTTCTCAAAAACAGAAATAAATTCCAACAGAGTTGAGGGAGATGATAGTAAATAAAGAAAATAAGAGATTCTATTAATATAAAAAGCTCATTGAAAAAGTAAAATCCTTTTTATAAGGTTGTTCTTAGGTAACCCACAACATTTAGAAAACCAGTGTTGCAAGAAGATGCAGTAGAATTAAAAACAAACAAACAAAAAGACCACAGCATATCTTCCAGGATTAAAAAGATAAAAATTCACAATTTACACCTTTAAAGTTCTGAGCACCTTGTATTCACTATGAATTTCTAATGGCTTACTTTTAGCCAGTATCTACCATACGGTAAGAACAATGCAACTATTATGTATCCATAAATATAAAAAACTTAAAAATAAAAAAGAAAGTAATGGCAGAGCTACAGCTCAAACATGAATCTGTAAGATTCTACTGCTAGCCACTCCACTCTACCACCTTGCTGTACTGTTTTGGGACTCTGGCATTCATAAAATAACTTTAATTCAGATTGTGCTCAACAATGATTCACAACTGGGCTACAGAGTTATATTGCTGGGAGATTCTTGGTTTCTTCAGTAAATAACTGGGCTTTGATATTTAAAAGGCAAGCACTACTTACTGTCTGTCATTCTATTAAAATTGTAAGGCAGTCTGGTATAGTGAATCAACAAAACCACTTCTGGTCCCAAATCTACTAATAATTATTGATGTCTTTTAGGCAAGTCACATAAATAAGTGGATGTCAGGTTGTTCTTTGTTTTTAAATATCAAAAGTGAAGGAGTTGAACTAATATCCATGTGATTAAATATTATAATCTAATTTGAATATTAACAAAGCACCCACTGTGCACTCTACAATGGCTAGATACTGAGGATCCACACATACGTAAACTGCACCCATCCCAATCGAAGGCAGAGAGTTAAAATTCACGAGTTTAGTTTTTCTTACAGTGAAGGTTAAACAAATAGAGAACCAAATATCATGTGATTCTTAGAAAGAAGGTTCTAATAATGAAAGTGCAACAGCTTTAGACATTAGCTTTACCCAGGTGGATACACTTATACACAGGCATATATGCCCATATATATGCTGTGGGAGAGAGTGGAAGAAGGGAAAAATATGCCACTGAATGTTGGGTCACTATTTTAAAGGTAGAGTAAAGGTCTGAATCATCTTCAATGAAAGACAAGGAACTGTATTTCAGTGACTGAGTATATAGAACTGCTTCGATTCAAATTGTATACTTTGACTTCACGGACAGGAAAAATGTACTTTACCAGGAATGTCAGTTATTATAAAACACTAGAGATTTTAGAGGGAGGGAAAAAAATCTCAAAGCCTATCCATCCCAGTTGAATATACCACGTATTTTAGTCAGCCTTTCTTAACCAGAGTTCTAAGAGAGAATTAAGCCTTAATACCCTAAGGCATCTATATAGTAAGTAAGGAATTAACATCTTTTCCTATGCGTCTGGAATTATACTAGTTATCTAAAATCCTTGGGTAAAATACAAAAAATCACTTTCTGTGTTCTTTTGATCAGAACAGGAACTCTGGCTGAGCTCATTAGTTTGTCAGCATTTAACAGCTGCTTACCACTGCAAAGAGAAGAAGTGATGTTGTACAGAAAAGGATAAAACTGCATACAGCGGATCAACTTCAGGCTGTTTTCACACTCTGGGCATTTGGTGGTTAATTTCAAGGCCTGTCTAAAGGCCTCAAGTGCTCCACTGATATTCTTCAGAGCAAGGTAAGCATTTCCCAGGCTCAAAAAGGTCAGAGGCTGAAAAGAAAAAAAAAAAATTGACAAAATGTTAATGAACTACTATTTTCTGGGAGTTACAAAACGTTTACAGTATATGGCTTTTGGCTCTTTTTAGGTTATCCCATAAACGTTACTGCTAACTGTCCATTTTATTCATACCAGCCAATTCTAAACTGTACAATACATGTAAATGTGTTTTCTACTTTTTTTGCTAAGATAAAAAATACATAAAGTATGTAATATAAACTATATATGTATATATCTCTGTAACCACCACACTGCTCAAGATACAAAAATATTTTCAGTACTCCAGGAGGTTGCCTTGGGCAATCCAACCCCAGAAGTAACCATTGCTGTGATGTTGTGACTTCTGTCATCATAGTTCTTGAACTTCAGATAAATGAAATCAACCTGCATGTTCTCCTATGATTACAAGTAATATGTGTTCTTTTGTAGCTTCTTTCACTCAACCTAAAATTCATTCAAGCTTTTGTGTACATCAGTAGCTCATTGTTTTTTAAGCTGATGTGTAATGTTCCAACATAACACAGCTTGTTCATCTGATTGGCAGTTGGGCTATTTCCACTTTCTGACTATTATGAATAAAGTTACTATGAATATTCTTGTAAATGTCTTTTGATAGGCATATTGTCCTCATTTTTTTTGAGTATATACTTAGTATGAGTTGTAAGGTAGATGTATATTTAGTTTTAGTAGATACAACCAAATAGTTTTCCAAAATGGATGCACAAATTTACACTCCTACCAGCAAGAGTGAGAATTCAGAGACTCTGTATTGTCAGTCTTTTTAATTTTAGCTATTTCAGTGAGCTGCAGTGGTGTGTAACTGGTTTTAATTTGCATTTCCATGATGAGTAATAATGCTGAGGGTTTTTTTTGGGAGCCCACTGGCCATTTGGATATCCTCATTTCTGAAGTGCCTGCTCTTTTCTCTATCTAAAAGAATTAGATTGCCCTTAATGCCTTGAAGGAATTTTCTGTCTATATATTAGTCCTTTGTTGAAAATATTTATTGCAAAAATCTTCTCTATGGTTTGTTTTTTTACTCTCTGAATAAGTATCTTTAGATAAACAGAATTTCTTAATTTCAATGAAGTTCAGCTTATCATTTTTTTCTTTCATAGTGCTTTTTGACATCTTTGTCATAAAGTCTTTCTCCTATGTCTTCATAAAGAAACCTTGTTTTATCATTCATATTTTGGTACATGATCCATTTCAAATTAATTCTGTGTATGGTGTGAGGTAGAAGTCAAAGTTCTTATCTTTCTCCATAGGGATATCATCCAATTACTCCAGCACTAATTTGCTGAAAAACCAAAATGTTTTTTCTTCATTGAACTACAGGTACACCTTTGTCATAAATCAGTGGCCATATTCACGGTGGTCTACTTCTAAATTCCCTATTATGTTTCATTGATATGTTTTGAGTATCTTTTTATCAATACCATACTCATTTAATTATAGTAAATCTCAAAATCTGGTAATAAAAGCCTTCCAACTCTGTTCCTCCCTATTACCCTGCCCCCATTTGTGTGTACGTGCGTGTGTGTGTAGCTATTCTAGGTCCCGTTCTATGTAGATTTTAGAATCAACTTATTAACACACAAACACATATATGCAACTACTAGGTATTTGAGATTGAATTGAATCTATAAATTGATTTGCAGAGATCTTACATCTGAGCAATATTGACTCTCTCAATGTGTGAACACGATGTGTATCTCCATTTACAGGTTGAGTATCCCTTATCCAAAATGCCTGGAACCAGAAATGTTTTGGATTTCAGATTTTTAAACATCTTGGAATATTTTATTATATTTATTGGTTGTACATCCCACATCTGAAAATCCAAAATCCAAAATGCTCCAATGAGCATTTCCTTTGAGTGTCAGGTTGGTGCTCAAAAAGTTTTGGATTTTGGAACGTCTGGGATTTCAGAGTTTTGAATTTAGGATGCTCAACCTGTATTTATGTCTTCTTTCTCTTAGTGATATCTTATAATCAGTATATAAATCTTGCACATCCTCTTTTAGGTTTATTCTTAGAAATCTGATGCTTTCTTTCTTTCCTTTTTTCTGAGACAAGGCCTCATTCTGTTGCTCAGGCTGGTCTGGAACTCCTGGGCTCAAGATATCCTCCCACCTCAGCCTCCCAAGTAGCTAGGACGACAGGTGCACACTACCATACTTGGCTAATTTTTTTTCCTTCTTTGTAGAGATTGGATCTCATTGTGTTGCCTAGGCTGGTACTGAGTTCCTAGGCTCAAGCGATCCTCTCCACTTGGCCTCTCAAAGTGCTGAGATCACAGGTGTGAGCCACTATACCAGATCTGATGTTTTCTTGATGCTATTGTAAATAGCGTACTTTGTATGCTGTTTTCCAACTGTTTGCTGAGACTGTTTTTATAAGCAGCCCAAAGTATTCAGTTTAGGCCATTTTAACTGAAATATAACTACAGTGTTTTTACATTTGCTTGTGTGCAAACCATATGTTTTATATTTATTTTATCATTAAAAATAGTTAAAAAGATCTAAGAATGTTTTATTTTCAAAAAGTACAATATATCCCTATGAAAAACAATGCTTATGATTTATCCAATTACCTGTTTTTGATTCGGGCTGTTAGATCATCAGAAATGTCTCACTGTAACCAAGGCAGAGGATAAAAAATATTCTAGATTAAGGAATTCTAACCTAAGTAGCTCAGATTACATTCAAACTATTACTTAGTAGTTCACACCCAGATACAAAATTAAATCTCATACTTAGACTTCAAATGTATCTTTATATTTTGCATTAGGAAACAAAGTGTTATAATTATCTCTATGACAAAATGATGGCTGTTAAAATATCTTGCACGGAGATAAACTGGTTAGCATTTTGGAAAAAAAGGTGAACTTTCATCCCTTGATCCAAAAAATAAGTACTGAGTATTTACTATGTTGCAGGCATAGTTTTGAGCATTGAGGTTACAGCAGAAAATAAGAAAGATAACTGCTCCTTCATAGACCTTACAGTCTTGTGTGGGGGTGTCAGCGAGTAAAATGGGACAGAGAAAAATATAGAAGGAAGAAATAGAGGTAGTACTAGGTGGCGGGGTGCATCATTTAAAATAGAGTAGTATGAGAGGGACTTACTGAGAAGCTGGTATTCATAAGACTTTGAGGAGGTGGAGCAAGCAATGAAGAATCTTGGTGGGATGAAGTACTGCAAGCAGAGAGGACAGAAAATGCAAAAGCCCTGAGGTAGGGGCATGCTTAGTATGTTCAAGGAACTACAAGGAGGCAAGTGAGGCTAGGATAGAATGTGCTAAGGAATGACTCCACAGAGACAAGGTCAGAAAAGTAACAAGGTCATGTAGGACCTTCTACACCATTACAAACTCATATTTTCCTGTGAGTTCTATGGAGAGCCACCACAGGGATCTGAGCCAACAAATAACAACATTTGACTTTTTATAAGGATTTTACTGCTTGCTGTATGAGAACAGACTGGGGAACAATGGCAGAAGCAGAGAGACCAGTTTAGAAGCTACTAAAATAATCCAGACAAAAATAATTATGGTTTGGATGGGATAGCAGTGGAAGCAATGATAAGTAGTAAAATCTGAGGTATATTTTGAAAACAGAATCAACAAGGTTAGCTAGTGCATTGAATTTTCCCTGAGAGTAGGAGAAAGGTATGAAGGAAGTCCCTAAGTGTTTGGTCTGAGCTACTGGACAGATAGCTTTGTTATTTCCTGAAATGAAGAAGACTGGGAAAAAGAAATTTGGAAAGGTGTTAAGGAGCTTGGTTTTGGCCTTTAGTTCTAGAGTGCCCTTTAGACATCTAAGTGGAAGTGTCAAGTAAGCTGCTGAATAAAGGAGCTCAGGGCAAAGGTGACAGGTAATTCAACAGGAAATGGGCAGTCTGCTCAAGATATGAAGCTGAACAACTGGATATCCAGGTAAATATGAACTCTGATCCCTACCTCACACTACAAAGAAAATTTAACTTGAAATGAATCATGGACCTAACTGTAAAGCCTAAAACTATAAAATATCCAGGAGACAACACAGGAAAAGATCTTTATATAATCTGAGAATCAACTGTTCAACGATTAAGCCACAGAAAACAAAAACAAACAGTTTTGTGAGAACACTTGAAATCTAACAATAGAAATCAACACTGAAAAGACTGGCAAACTTAAGGTCAATTTTTAAATGCTAAGATAAAAAGGCAAAGAGGGAAAATATTTTTAACACATGAGAGATGGAGTTAAAGAGTTTATCATACAAAGGGTTTGCACAAAATTTAAAAAATAACATTCCAAAATGAACAAAATATATACACAAACTTTTACTTTAAAAATACAATTACAAGGCTGGGCGCAAGGGCTCAAGCCTGTAATCCCAGCACTTTGGGAAGTCAAGGTGGGCGGGTCACTTGAGGTCAGGAGTTTGAGACCAGTCTGGCCAACATGTTTCTACTAAAATACAACCTTGTTTCGACTGAAAATACAAAAATTAGCCGGGTATAGTGGTGTACACCTGAAATCCCAGCTACTCCAGAGTCTGAGGCACGAGAATAGCTTGAACCTGGGTGGCGAAGGTTGCAGTGAGCTGAGATGTCACTGCACTCCAGCCTGGGTGACAGAGCGAGACTTTGTCTCAAAAACAAAAAACAAGCACAAGATAAAACTTTATGTTACAACAGAGAAGTGATATTTTTAAGCAAGCAAACTTGCTTTATAAATGTTAATTCAGAGGTAGCATAACACGACTAGAGTATTTGCTCTGTGGCCAATCTCCCTGAGTTCAAAACCAAGCTCCGTGACTTTCCACAAATCCCTTATTCTATACATTTAACTCTTAAGAATTTCCTCATCTATTAAAGGGGAAATTCAATCTCACAGGGTTGTCGTGAGGATTAAATTAGTTATTACATGTAAGATGCTTAGCATTGTGCCTGGCTCTAGTAAATAATCAAAAAAACTAGCAGTTATTCAGTTGTTCAATTATAATAAAGACACAGGTGGAATTAATATTTTTAGACCTTGTTCATGGCAATATATATTGGCCCAAACATTTTAGTGGGTTGTTTCGTATTTTGTTCCAGAGCCATCAAAATATTCATTCTCTTATTGATTTAGTAATTCCACTGTTAACAATCTTTTAAGGCCTTTGCAGAAAACCATCAACGATAACAGCTAAGTACTGTTAGCAACCTAAACATGCAACAACAGAAAAGTAGGTTGTGGCGTATCAATTCATTGGTCCTTTACACAACCATTTAAATTGATGGCTTTAAAATTAGGTAGGAATAAATTTTTTAGAGATCACCTGTACAGTAGAATTGAAACATTATGAAATATTTGTATAGAAGACATGCTTATAAGGAAGAATTTCCAAACATTGATAGTTGGGAAGAGGGTGTTGATTAAGGTACATTTTTGGGGCGGGGTGTGGTGGTGCATGCCTGTAATCCCATCATTTTTGAAGGCCGAGATGGGAGGACTGCTTGAGCTCGGGTGTTCAAGACCAGCCTTGCCAACATGGTGAAACCCCATCTCTACAAAAAAATACAAAAATCAGCCATACATGGTGGCACATGCCTGTAGTCCCAGCTACTAGGGAGGCTGAGGTGGGTGCACTACTTGAGCCTAGGAGGTGGAGGCTGCAGTGAGTCATGATCACGCCACTGCACTCCAGCCTGGGCAACAGAGCAAGATCCTGTCTCAAAGCAAAAAAAAGGTATATTTTTGGGGTACTCACCCTGAGCCATTAATTTATCTTTTTATTCTTATTGTAGCACCATGGTATTTAACAACTAAAATTTTAGTATTTTAAAATATCAACAGGTAACCAATCACTAAAGGAGGTCTTTTTTCTTCAGAAGAATACTACCTATGTCCCTTGGCTGAAAACAGTAAAAAGGGAACCATGAAAAGTTTCAAGGGAATACCGCTGCACTGCGCTTTCCACTCCCACTTTGTCACATCTGTTCCCACAGTACCAGCACCTGGTACACAGTAAGCATTAGATAAATATTTGATGTACTTCTCTGGCAATGTGACCTGTTACATAATATTGAGATTGTAAACTTTTGCTTAAAATCCAATTGTGAATTTGTGTATTTCAAAGGAAAACAGGCAATATTTTCTTCTCATCCTTAAAAAATCAGTTTTCAGATACCGTAAATACACCTAAACCATTCATGCACATCCCTTCTGAAGGTTTCTTTGGATATAAAACCTATAAACATTTAGACATTAGGTATAAAATCAATTTAATTGTATATTTATTGTAACTGAATTTCATGAAACCTAAAATGACAGGAATTATAACATCCATCCTGATTTCAGAGATGTTAAAATATGAAAAACAAAAGTTGTATCTTCAAAACCATGAACTACAAAGCACCGATGTAACTCCATAAGCTGCATGTGAGAGGTTTGGGGCACAAAAATCAATGTACCTATTTACTCTTATCAAAACCACCTTTGAATTGTCCTCTGGCTTGAATGGCATAAATATTTCTATAAATTAAAGTTGTAAAACAGTGTAATATTAAGCAGTGTGCATGCTGTGATGAGTAGGATAAAATACAAACCAGATGTTTCAAACTGACATAAAAAAGTGGCAGTGTATTTTTACAGCTATGTTATTGTTATTTAAATGTAAGTTTCCAAAAAAACTTAACTGTATAATTATAAATTTCACTCAAATTTAAAGAACACATCAAAATAAAACAAAAGCTTTTTCACACTCTCTTGAAATAATGCAAATTCTACTGTGAAAGACAGAATATGACATTTTTTATGCTTTCCCTAGAAAAATACAAATTGTAATCTAAATTTGAGTTATCCTTCATAGTATACGGAGCTATGAGAACCCCTAACACCTCACCTCAGAGCTATTGATGGCCAAAGCTTGAAGTAGCAGCTTAGTGGCATCAAGATGAAGGCCGTAATGAATCAAAAGGTTGGCCAAGTTGACAAGAGGAACATCTTGGTATTGAAGTGGAGCTAAATTCAAAGCCCTCTGAAGACAGGCAATAGCAAAAGTGCTATTTCCTACTGCTCTCCAGTATAGTCCAGCTTCATTGAGTATGAGCCAGACAGGAGCATTTGGCTGCAAAATCCAAAAATACTTCAGTTAGTACAAGAATACAGTACTTGTTCTAAATAAGATTTTTAATAAGTGCATTTTAACTTTCAGTTATAATTCAGAAGCATTTAAGTTTTAGATGTCTAAAGTAAATGACTCACCTTATTAATAGCATGAAATAAGAAAGACCCAATTTCTTCTTCTGGGACAGTATAGTTATTAATACGGGAAAGCAAAATCTGAAACATCAAAAGGAAGACTGACTCAATTGAAAATAACAGGGAAGACATTTGAAAGAATTTCTATAGATGGTAGTCTTTTCTTGAGCTCCTCAGGAACAGCTAATCTGAACAAATATTTATAATCATATATATGACATAAATTCATTGACATACCAACAGGTGTTGACTTGCTCACATGTATGTAATAGTTTGTTTAACTAAAAAGTTAAAAAGACATATATACCCACACACATTAAAGTAACCTACCATACCCCATTAAAGTCAGCCTAAGTGTTCAGAACCCAAGAAGAAATTATTCAACAGACAACAGCATGCAATATCTGATGTAATAAAAATCTACTATCTTTCCTTCCTGGAAAATACCAGATCCTCATTATTCTACTTCATTGTTCCTGCAGCATTTATGTAACCGTAAGCAACTCTAAGGCACAGATCATGGTCTGTTTATCTTTGTATTCCTAGCATCCACAACAATGTCTGGCACATAATGTTCTTGCCTAAGGAAATGTCTGTCGAATGTAAGTAGTCATAAGTGCCTATAGTTTTGAAATTAACTTAAAAAAAAAGAAAAGGTGGTTGTGATGGTCTGTGATTGCTAACAAGGTAATTTTTTTCATTTTTGTCTATGGAATGATATCTAATATGGTAATCTACAGGAATTTAGGAAAAGAGCATAACCGAACTTCTAATGTTTGCAGAGTCATTATTAAATTAATATAAATTCCTAGGGACCTCATATAAGGTCACAGCAGGGTTGATAAGGCCAGAGAAAGAGATTCTTCAAGCTTTCAATTTATATAAACTTCTGGGGGCCTGGAGGATGCAAAGCTAACTTTTAGTGGTTGCAATGGCCTGTATTACACCGACTCCATTAGATAATTGAGAGTTCTGTGCTACTCATCTTTGAAGTGCTCTAAGTTAGAGGAATACTGTTTAGGTGATCTATGTATAGCAGCCCCGAGGAACTCTCTGGCACTCTTTTAAGAGCATGACTGACTTCGCCATCAATTCACCAAGTCTTTAACTCTATCCTTCCATTTTATATACTAAAAGCTCAACAGCTACCTTCTATCAATTTTTTGTTCCATTTAAGAGGCTTCTGAAGTCACCCAGAATGGACGGCAATAAATACCAGCCTAAGTGAGCCTTACTTTTCGTGCATGGTCATCTGGCATTTTGGCTTTCAGATCCATGCGAACCTCTAATTCTTTGACTAAGTAGGACAGAGTGTGGCTTTTTCTGAAGTCAGTTATGGAACAGTCAGGGGTTTGGGCCTCTTCTTCTGTAGAATAATCATCACTGCTGAGTTCGTGGATCCTGGCACAAGAAAAAGGAACAAGATTCATATTTTCAAAGTTTGGGTGACTTCAAGATAAAGACTTAACCTTTCAAGTCCAAGGCTGGTGCTCTCAAAGAACCGCCAGATGACAATCATGCAGAATCAGGTGCTTTGCCAAATCCATCAGCACTTGCCTGAGTCCTTTGTTTTCCGGAGGCAGAAAATACGTTGGCAATTCCCCACCAACAGGGACTCTAGGGTAGCTTTCTGTACAATCTGCTCTTTTAGGCCACAGAATATGTTGTTTGTCCTGATAAAGAAATAACATTTCTCATAAATTTCTTAGGATTCAGTATTTCAATATGCTAAAGAAGCTTTTAAAATGATATAAATATACTACAATAACTGGACAAAACTATAATACCTTAAGATTATGGTAGACTCTATAATATTCCTGCTACTGCAGATTATTAATCTAAGTCAGTAATTCCACCTGCTTTATCACAGACTGGTTCAGGGTTGGGCTAGGGTATAAGCCAGTTGAGCCACTGAGACACAAGAAGAGGTTTGCTTGGGGTTTTTGGGAAACAGAAGCAAGTCTTAGGCTCTTATGTTACTTATGAACAAAAAATCATGTTGTTCCAGTTGCTGCTGGCTGTCATCTTATGACCATGAAAAAAACCAAGCTTTTGGATGAAACCAATACTGTGGATGGTAGAGTGAAGAAAAAAAAAAAAAAAGAAAGAAAAAGAAGAAATGGGTCACTGATGACATCACTGGGCCACTGAATCAACCAAACCTGAAGTTTATCCTATTTCTGGACTTCTTGTAATAATAGGCACGTTTTCTTTGTGTTTAAGTTAATTTGAGGTGGAGCTTATTACTTACACCTGAAAGTATACATAAGCCTATAAAACCTGGCATTGAACACTATTTTTCCCTAAACTAAGGTCTTTTTTTTGCCAATGCCAAAGTTTAACAATTGTTTTATGATTTGTAAAATGTTCACTTTCTCTAAATATAAACAAGATGTACCAGAGGCTTACTAAACTTAAATCTTGAAGCCATCAAACTTTGGGGGATTTATATTACATACAATTAAATCTAAGTGGCTGTTTAATTCTGTTAAACCCTTGATTAAATTCTGAAAATTTAATGGTGAATAAAAATCACAGTCTCTGTCCTCATACCTTGGTATCTGCCTCAGCTAACCTACAATTCTTTCTTAGCTAGTCTAGAAATGCACATGTAGTAACTTGTTTATTGTCTATGTCGTCTACTAGAGTGTAGGCTCCAGAAGAGCAAGGGGGCTTATCTATTACACCGCTAGCATTAGCCTAGCACAGATGGGAGCTCAATAAAAGAATGCTGATCAAGCGAAGTATATAAAAACATACTCTTGGGTCAAGTTTAGAAACTTGTTAAGGTTGGTAATAATATTCAGAGGATAAAGCTTTAAATTGAAATCAGGGTGTCTCTCTGCTCTACTTGATTGGGAAAAACTCAAAGCAGAAATTGCATCTTACTCATTCACTACCTAGCAAAATGGCTTCCATTTAATAGAAATGTAATACACATTTGCTGAACTAATCTGAACAGTCATAGAGGCCATATTAATCAGTGAGGTTGAGGGCACTGCTTTAATGGATCTTGTCAGTTTGAGAAAACTGCTTCATCATCCTCTATTAACTTACCCTATATGCATCAGAGTCCCTGCCCCAAATCCAGAGAATAGAATGGGCTACGGGAGAAGACTTGACCGAATCATTGATATCACTCTGATTTGATTGAACATCAAAGTTCACAGACATCATACTGGAGGTTGATGAATCCTCACCAAACTAGAAAATGAAACAAAAAGTTCAATCAAATTGAAAGTGGAAAAGGAGTTGTGACTATAATTTAACTCACACCAAAAAAGCGAGTGAATATTCAAAATTAGTAGAAAATCAGAAAGTAGCTCAGTAATAAAGCAACTGGATCTTTTAATTTTAAGAGCTATGCCCCAATGATATTCTTTCATGGATAATACATAGTTAGCAACTTTCAATAACTTTGCCATTGGAGTATGAGAAAAATGGCATAGGCCATTTTCCTGTCCCTCTGCTTCATTTTTACGATTTAGTCTCTTTAGGTTAATAATTAGCTAATTTAGAAATCTGGTTCATTATTCCCCTTTTCTTCCTACACTAAAATGCTCACCACTCTAAAATTAGTGTGCTGTGTGTGGGTAGAAGTGAGGGAACTTAGGAAAGTGTTCTTAAGGGTTCTATCACTATCACTTAAGGATTACAGACTGCATTCAATCAATTACAAATGAAAGTTTTAGGGGTGAAAGGGTAACTTAGAAGATGGGAGAACACAAACATATACAGCCTTCTTTCAAAGCAAGGTGGAACAATGTTGGATATACTTACAAGATGCTTGTGTATTTCTGAAACCTTGCTAGATAATGAGAATGGGACTGGGGATGGGATGGGGTAGGAAAGACATAAGAAAAAGGAATGAATATGATGAATTTGTAGCTCTAGGTCTTTATGAATAGGAATGGATTCTTTCACTGTATAGTGGTGATACAATTTTATGAGTATAGTCTATTGGAAGCTACACTCCTTCAAATGGTCTTGAGACCATCAAAAAGTCCAAAAGGTACACCTGGGTTTCAATCTACTTCATTTTTAAACATCCCTGTTTTTCCCTTTAAAATGTTTGGTTTTAAGACAGGGAGCTATAATGCCAGAGGGTGTGAATCTGGTCTTCCTTTATTCTTTCCCTTGGAAACCAAACACAAGATATTGCTGGGAGCTGGTTTACAATACTCATAGGAAGCTTTTGGTCCCTATCACTATTTCCCCTTTCAAATGGCTTCTTAATTTTTGTCTCTTATTTTTTCCCAATACAGTCTGGATTTTTCCAGATTAAACAGTTCCAAGTTTTTGTGGTTTGTCCTGCTATAGATGGTCTCCTAATCTCTTAGTTATCTTAATTAGTTATTGCTGAAAATTTCTATATCTACAATTAGAGACATGATGAGTTTTCTCTAAGACAGAATAAATGTTGTTTTATTTCTAATATAGGTTGAGTATCAGTTTTCTGAAATGCTTGACCAGGAGTATTTTAGATTTGAGATTTTTTTGGATTTTGGAATATTTTATTACACTTACCTGTTAAGCATCCCAACAAAAATGTGAAATCCAAAATGTTCCAATGAACATTTCTTTTGAGCATCATGTCAGTGCTCAAAAAGTTTCAGTGTTTGAATCCTTTTTTTTGATACTCAGAATTCTGGCTGTACTTGCTGTCTGTATCACTTACTCAACATCAATTATATACTATTTGGTATCATTATATTTTCGTGTTAGTTCTTCCCAACTAGATAGATTAGGATTGTACACGTGTGTATGTGTGTGTACACATATGTGTGTATATAGAGACAAAGTGAGAGAAAGTGCACACCTAGCAGTGTGCTTAATAAAGATTTTCTGGGCCAGGCACGGTGGTGCACGCTTGTAATCCCAGCACTTTGGGAGGCCGAGGTGGGCAGATCACCTGAGGTCGGGAGTTCAAGACCAGCCTGGCCAACATGGAGAAACCCTGTCTCTACTAAAAAGTACAAAATTAGCTAGGCATAGTGGCACATGCCTGTAATCCCAGCTACTTGGGAGGCTGAGGCAGGAGACTCGCTTAAACTGGGAGGTGGAGGCTGCGGTGAGCCGAGATCAGGCAACTGCACTACGAACTGGGCAAAAAGAGCAAAATTCCATCTCAAAAAAAAAAAAAAAAAAGATTTTCTGTCGATAATGAGTATTTTGTTGGTGGTATTGGTTGAGGCAATATAATTGGACTGATTATTTCAGGAAACGAATAGCATGGTTGCTCTCAAATTTTAAATAGGTCTTACTCTAATAGGTAAAGTGGGGAGATGAAAGCTTTGAGTTCAATAGTAATAATAGCCCAATTCTAGCTCCCATGGTAAATGAGAAAAGAAGCAAATGCATGTGCATATAAATATGTAGATGGTACCTGGAGAAAGAGAAAGCATCCATGGAGTTACTGAGTACTCCCTATAAAATCTGACTTCGTAAACAAAACAGATCATCAAAATCTCTCTCCCTCTCTTTTTTTGAGACAGTCTTGCTCTGTTGCCCAGGCTGGAGTGCAATGGCATGATCTGGGCTCACTACAGCCTTGACCTCCAGAGCTCAGGTGATTCTCCCGCCTCAGCCTCCTGAGTATCTGGGACTACAGGCGCAAGCCACCATGCCTGGCCAATTTATATATGTTTTTGTAGAGATGGGGTTTCACCATGTTACCCAGGCTGGTCTTGAACTCCTAGACTCAAGTGATCCTTCTGCCTCTGCCTCCCTAAGGGTTGGGATTACAGGCATAAGCCACTGTGCCCAGCCTCAAAATCTTAAAGATCTAAATGATAACCACAAATTTTAGAGATCAAACATATAAAGAATCATGGGAAAAAACAAAAGTTTTTAAAAATCTTTATAAAGCAAAAGTTTATAAGAACTAGATTGGACCAAGAAAAAGACCTGAACATAGTCCACATTTTCAAAGATATCTCCACGATGATAGCGTACAGGCTGGTCCCACTGGCAATGTAAACTATGCTGCTGGTTTACCAGTCGGCATATCTGATGATTTCCTGGAATAAGAAAGAAAATTACACAAATGATGAGCAAGGTCAACAATGCCAATGTGATTTTCTTAGACTAAGTCATTTAGTATCAACCCTGTATCCCTCAAGAGCCCAGCAGGCTACTTATATAGGATGTACTTATATAGAGAAGTATTCATTAATGGTTAATCAAATTAAATCATTTTAAGAAGTCCCAGTTTTTCCGCCTATAAAAACAAAGGGACTCCACTAGATGATTACTGAGGTATCTTTCAGCAATTATAGTCTATGATTGTAAAATCTATTGATTACATCGTTTTAAGAGACTTTGGCTATCTTTCTGGAGAGAATTTGCTTTATATACTTCATAATTTTGTTTCAAATGCATATGTAAGAGCTCTGGTTGTGTTTCAGTAGACTGGGCAGTAAGTAATTTCAAAGATAAGCATACTCTTTACTCTCATAATAGCAAAGAAAATGTGTTAAGGGAATTGTAAAATAAACAATAAATGGTCACAGCTAAGCGTCAAAGGTTAAGAAGCTTTCTTGACGAACATACTTATCAAGGGAGAAAGGTATAATTAAGAGATTCTATTAATTTATTCTCTGGTGTTCAGTTGTCAGATCTGCTCCCTCGTAATTAGAAACAAAACATTCTAGATATAACCAAATCATTGCTCTCATGCCAATCCAAGTTCCTATAAACCAGTGGTTCTATTTTTACGGATCACAGATGCTTAAGAGATTTTAATAAAAGCTATATACCCTCTTCCCAGAAAAATACAATTGGACACATACACAATTCTACATATAATTTTCGAGAGGATTTCAGAACCCCCTGAAACTAATCCATCGATCCAGGTTTAAAATTCCAGTCTAAAATTTCACTTGTAAAATGTTGCTTTTAAGAGAGCAAGAAAAAAAGGAGTATGGATGGGTTGTTTCTAGGTGGGTCTGGCTTATATTCCCTTAGTGTAAGGCCTTGTTACACCACAGTGCAGAGTTTTTAGACCGGCGGCAACAGGCATCACCTGGGAGCTTATTAGGAAGACAGGCTCTCAGACCTCAACTCAGACCTACTGAATCATAATCTGCATTTCAACAAGATCTCCAGGAAACTGATATGCATATTAAAGTCGGAAAAAAAACAAATAAACTGATGTTGAGCACAGAAGGCAAATAACTTAAGATTTCTAGGATCTACAAGACTTATTTTTTATTTCAAAATGTAAATTTGAAAAAAGCAAGGCGGACCACACCAGCTCCCCAAGCCTCCTGGTATACCCACAGTGATGAATCATGCTTTCAAGATGTAGGGAAGTCATAAACACAACTTCACACTGCTTTAAGGCTACAAGAAAGCTATGATAGTAAAGCACGCTAGAAGCGAATTTCCTAACCCGTCTTCAATTACTTGGAGTCACTACTTACCTAACTGTGCCTCTTTTGCCATCTGAGTCTCATGAATGATATTTCTTAAGATTTGCTCCTCCTGAATCAGTTTATGTTTTTCTAGGATTTCCTGCTGTCTCAGGTAGTGGTCATGCTGCTTTTGATACTCTTTTAACTCATTCAGTGTTCGCTGGAGAGATCTTAACATTTTTTAATACCAGGAAAAAGTTAGAGCTATAAAATTATAAAATTTTAAACCCACTTAAATGCATAGATTTTTCTGGTTCTCAGCAACAATTACTGCGTGTTTTCCTTTTATTTAACATACAACCCTGTACCACCAGTTCAATAATAACAGGGCAAAAAGATAAACGTGAAATTCTTCCTTTAAATATCACTTTTTAAAAAAAGAAATGGGGTCTCGCTCTGTTGCCGAGGCTGGATGCGGAGGCCTGATGGTAGCTCACTGCAGCCTTGTACTCCTGGGCTCAACTCCTGGGCTTAAGGGGTCCTCTTGCCTCAGCCTCCTGAGGAGTAGCTGGGACTACAGGGACATGCCACCATGCCTGGCTAATTTAGTTTTAGAAACTGGGTCTTGCTATGTTACCTAGGATAGATTTGAACTCCTGGCCTCAAGTGATTCCTCCCCTCCACCCTGCCTCAGTCTCCAGAATAACTGGGATTACAGGCATCGGCCATGACACCTGGCAATACAACTATCATGACATCAAATGGTATGTTGCATTTTTCAGGTGCCATAAAAAAATACATGACAATATACAAGTTTACATATTTAACAACTCTATTACTCTCTACAAAATCTGCATTAGTTCCATCAACATTCAAAGTCTTTCTAGAATCCTTTCCTCCTTTTCACTTTTTCCCTAGATTCTGCTTAAAGACAAAGTTAAGAGTTAGGGGCCACAGTACTTTGCTTTCATACTCTAACTTATTGGTTACAGGCCAGGAAAAACTACAGAAACTATACTTAGAAAGGAATATGCTTCACCACTTGATTTCAGTAAATCAGCTGCCTGATTACATTTAATCACAAAACCCATACTGCCTATTACACACTGTAACATATAGAGATTTTAGGAGCTACACAGATTGTGTAAAGATAGAGCCAGCTCAGTTAAGAGCATGATACTGGAAAAGCTCAGCCAGGTATAACAGAAACCAGTTATGAATAAGCAAGCTGTCATCCTTTTTACTTCCTACCATGTTATGCCTTAAACAGATTGGAAAATAAGCAAATACAAAAGCTTAATGAATTCTAAATCTCTATTTAATTCTCTACTCACCAAAGTAAACTCAACTATTACAGCTAATTCTGAGATATGAAAAATTCACTTCTGAGTTAACATAAAGTTTCTTAACTAGCCCTATTGACTGAAGGAAATGTTTTTTAATTTATTATACCTCAAGGATCAAATACAATAGAATTCCATTACTGTACAACCTAACACACAATCATGATTAACACGTGGGCCAAATAATGTCTCTTGATCCCATTTAACTACCTTAACAAGAGCCCAACACTAGAAGCCACCACCTCTCTCCAAGAGGAGAAATATCAACTATTGCACATGTAAGTGATTTTACTGAAACTTAGTATATTCTATGGAAATAAAAATATAGTCAACAAAGTTACTAAGTATCCCAGTCTCCCCATCCCAACTGACTTCATAAAAGTAATCAATGGTCAATAAAGATTTAAATGACAGCTTTTACTACAAATAGTCTCTAGTTGCAGGAATCCATACAATTAAAGATATTCCTCTACACAACCACTGAATTGTGCTAAACCACCAGGATAACAGAAAAAGCATAGGACCTGCAGTACTGAAGAGGTTTCTTTCTTAATTCCAGTCACCAAATTAACACTGATATCCCCTACACAGATTTAACCTAAGGTTCTATAGTGCTAGAGCTTCAGTGAAATTTTTCCTCTCAATTACCTATGTTGAGCCTCCAATTTCTGCTCCAGTTTTTGCTGGCATAGGACAGCATGCTTCCTCTTTATAGCTTGCTCAAACCCAGGTTTGGCCTGCAAAGCGTGGTCATAACAGAGCACTGAGTGGTTATATTCCCCAAGCATCTGAAGAGACAAAAACACACACACACGCACAAGGGAAAAAAATGTGAGCCATCGCCTGGTTGCATCTGTCCAAATCCTCTAATGATTTATGAGATCACACCTACATCTTACTCTACAGTGACCATTATTTTGATCAGTGACCAGATCCCTACAATATTAAGGCATACTATAGGATGGTTTAGTTGGAAGGTATTGCTAACCTTAAAAGGTGTACCCTGTAGAAGTTTAAAATTCCAATTTAATTATTATTATTTTTTTTCGGCAAGAGGCTAGAACAATTACATTATTGTGTTGAGGATTTTTCTTCCTCCTAATTTCATTTCCATTGTTCAGACCAAAAAATAAATGGAAAAAAGTAACATTCTACTGAGTGGGGGGGGAAAAAAAAAAAAAGAAAGTGGCAACTACTAGCATGACTCATGAAACAAACAGTTGTCCTTACTGCATATATATTCCCCAAAGTGTAATAGCTGGTGAAGAAGTCACTGTCATCCAGAGCTGCATGGACCACGACAGCAGCATCAGCAGAGAAGTGTGCTCTGTGTAGAACGTTTGCCAGGTTGACCAGGGCAATGTCTTTATTGTGCCTAAGGAAAGCAGCACACATTCCACGATTATGTAGAACCACTTGACAAGGAAAAATGACATTCAAAGTTACTTGTGCTTAGGAAACTAAGATATAGGTGGAGCAAATAAGATAATCATAGTGTTTCATTTTTAAATTATTGATGGTTCTTAACCTGATAGCTACAAATTTTGTCTTGCAGACACTATATGATTTTACAATTTATTTAGGACTTAAATTTGCTTTAAGAAAAGTTAAACTTAGTTTACGATAATTCCATTCAAGTCCTATGTGAATCATAGGGCATCTACATAACATATTTTTTCCTTAATGGAAATGGAAAGTATACTACACAATTATCACTTTGAACTTTTTGACATCTGTGATTTTTTTTGTTGTTGTTGTGGGACTTATTTCTTTGAAGAGGGATGGAGAAAAGTAGATAATGCAATGCTGCTTCTTATTGCTTTCTTATGTATTGTTTCTATAACAGTCCTGAGGAATGTGGAAAATCAAGTCCAGAAGAGGAGGAATCTTACCTGGAAGAGAAGTGAAGTGCTCGCATGGCACATTCTACTACCTGATATGGCTCATTCTTAATTCTCCAGTAAAATGAAGCCATGTTATACAGTACCCATGAGGAAGAGTTCTAGAGATTAAAAAAGTGAAATTACAAACAGGACTCAAGACAGTTTAATTTAGAATAGTCAAAAGGAGCACTTTTAATATTCTGGCTCTTCTGAAATTCAAGACGAAGAGCCAGACTAATGATAAGAGCCAGACAATGATAAAGAAGAGGACACAGTGCAAAGAAACTATACCGTCAAAAGGGTATTCTAATCATCAACTGAGCATGTGCATTAGTGTGTGGTCTTCATATAGAGACCATCCGACTCCAGCTTATTCCAAGAGGGAAATAAAGCTGAAAATCCCACCAATTGACCACAACTTGTTGAGCTCTATTTCAGGACTTCCGAAGTTAAGTCAGAAGACCTCATCTACTTAGAAATAGCTCTAACGTGAAATTCCTGAAATTAACATTGTACAAATTTTTCTATTTATGTAATATCTGAGTGAAGGCACAAACCTAAACAGGCTTACTCTAAACATAAAGACAAAAAAAAAAAAAAAAAAAGAGGAAAAAGGGCCAAAAACATGAACAAACAGCTAAGAAGTATGTAAAATGTGTAACTTCACAAACAAATAGAAATTTAAAAGATACAGGTTTTCCTTTTACGAAGTGGCAAAGACTAAAAAGAATGCCAATACTTACTGAATATTATTAACTTTAGATATTAAACTATAGAAATGCTAAGTTACTACAGCATTTCTGGGGGACAACTTGACATGCATGTAAAAAGCTTTAAAAATGTAATGTATATTACATTAACATACATATTAATGTATATTACATTTGCCCTTTGACTCCCACAATTCTATTATTAAAAATGTATACTATGGGGAATAATTACGTTTTAACTATAAAGCTGTGTAAAAATCAAACTCCAAAAGAATATATTACAAACCAGTTTTGAAATTATTCACTTTACTTTCTTTTATAGATTTTTATAGTATGAATCTTTCGCAAGGGCCCAATTATTTTTAAAAGAGCTATTTTAATGTAGTTAAAAAGTTTAAATTTAGTTAAATGTAGTTTTTGAAGACTACAATAAGTACAATCCTGCATTATTCATCCTTAAGCATTCTATCTTCAAGAAAAGTATGTGATTTTTGAGTGATGCAATTTCAGATTTTTGCACTATTAGCAGATCGACTATGAACTTCTACTACTTGAAGTTGGTTAAAGGACAATACATTCTTCACAACTGACTTGTGGCCGAGGTTTCAGTTTTCTTTTTCATGGCCTTTTGAGAAAGTTGTTTTTCAAATCAACCAAAGCTTTGATTTTGATTTTCTTCTTTTATTTTCATGTCAGAGTGTAAACTGGGACAAAAGTTCAATTAAAAGTTCTACATGAACTACTGAAAAGAGTATAAGTTAAATATATATCATAGCATACTGGCGGTAAGATAAAAATACATATTTAAAGAAATATCTTTCTGTAATTCTCATAAAATCTCCCCCAAATCTATAAATGTTCTAATGTTACTGTGAATTACTCCCTCCTTCCTTTGACCACTTTCTGCCATTGGCTCTTAGGACATCGCATTCTGCAGGATGCCCTTTCTGGTCTTTTTTGCTGGCTTTCCCCCTCTGCTTGATAAATACATGTGGGACGCACCCAGGAGTCAACTGGCTTCTTCTCAAACTTTACTCTTCCCCAGATGACTTCATCCAGTTCCCTGGCTTCAGATATTCATTATTTAATAATTACTCTCTATGTGCCCAACTCTAACTTTCCCTGAAATTCCAAACTCATATAGGTGTTTCAAATTTAACATGGCCCAAATAGAACTCTTATTTTCTCTTCTCCCACCCCAACACTCTCCTCCTTCAAGTTGTTCAAGTCAAAAATTTAAGAGTTTTCCTTGATTCCTCTTTTGCCCTCAATCCCCATATCTAACTCATCAGCTTCTAAACTCCTAAATATCTCCTAAATAGTTCAAGTCCTCTCATTTTCACTACTAACAACTGCTAGCCCAAACCACCTTCATCTCTCTCTTGAACTACTGCAACAGCTTTCTAACAGGTCTATTTCCAGTTGTGGTCCTTTCAATAACTTCTTCATATAGCAATCAAAGTGATCTTTTAAACCATAATTGCAATACATTGCTTCTCTGCTCTGACTTCTCAGCACACTTAGAATAAGATCCAAAATCCTTACCCTGGATTTCAGACCCTTACATAATCTGGCACTGGCCTAATTCTCTGGCTTCATTCCTTATCATCCTTCCTCTTGCTCACCAGGCTCCAGCAATATTGGCCTGAATTTGGCTGCACGCCACCTGTTATGGACTGAATGTCTATCTATGTCTCCTCAAAGTTCATATGTTCAAGTGTTATCAGACCTATGAGGAGTGGATAAAGGCTAAATGAGGTCATAAGGGTTGGGGCCCAAATTTGGTTTCTTCCTATAAGAGTCCTTATAAGAAATGGAAGACAGATCTCTCTCTCTCTGTCTTCAAGCATGCACACAGATGAGGCCATGTGAGGACACAAAGAGAAGGTGGCCATATGCAAGGCAAGAAGAGAGCCCTCACCAGGAACCAAATCACTGGCACCTTGATCTTAGACTTCCCAGCCTCCAGACTATGAGAAATAAATTTGTTAGGCCAGCTAGTATGTGGTGTGAACAAATATATTTGGTCTTTGTCCCCAGTTCCTGACACACAAACCTAAAACTTGAAGAATCACAGCAGTAATGTGTGTCTTTCATATGCTAATGGATGACTGGAGGCAGGTGGCCCCCAGATAGCTTCAGGACAGATGCTGGTCCCAGAAAAACCAAGGCATGATTAGAGGGTTAAGTCTTTCAGAATCCCATTCTCCCCTTGTCCTTCGGGGATGGGAGAGAAAGTAGAGATTGAGTTCATCACTCATGGCCAATACTTTAGTCATTCATGCTTACATAGTGAAACCTCCATAGAAACTCTTAAACAACAGAGTTTTGAGAGCTTCTGGGTTGGTGAACACATTGAGATTCTAGGAGGGTGGTGTTCTGGAGAGGACATGGAAGCTCTGTGCATCCCTTCCCCCTATTCCCTGGCTTATGGCTTTGGCTGTTCCTGAATTGCATCCTTTACAATAAACCAATAATAGTTGGTAAAGCACTTTCCTGACTTCTGTGAGCTGTTCTAACTTGGGGAGGCAGTTGTGGGAACACTCTTGACTTTATAGCTGATTTGTCTGGTGGCCTTGACATGCGACTGGCATCTGAAGTGCAGGTAGCCTTGTGGGACTGAGTCCTTGACCTGTGGGGTCTGTGCTAACTCCAGGTAGTTAGTGTCAGAATAGTACTGAGTTGGAGAACACCTAGTTGGTGTCAGGAGAATTGGAGAATTAGTAGTGTGAGAAAAAACTCCATACGTTTGGTGTCGGAAGTGTTTTGAGCAGAAACGGTCCAAAGCGGTACTTTGTTATGGAAGCCAGAGCAGACAAATACAACCACCTAACCTCAATCAGGATTCAGAGCCTTTGCTGTGGCCTACCATGCTCTTCCAAGGTCTTTGAATTTTGGTTTCTTCTTATGATTCAGGTGTCAGCTTAAATTTCACCTTTCCGGAGAGATAACCCCAACTGCTAGATCTAAAGTAGCCACCCAGTTACTTTCTGTTTTAATTTTCTATAGAACACTTACCACTATGGTCTACTCTCAACTAACCATTCTCTGAAGGATACTGTAAAATCCTGGGCCAGTTTTCTCTTATTACTCATCAAGTTCTGGGAACGTAAAAGTTTTATATTACCTTCAGAAAAATAAGATGAAGATGGTAACACAGCTACAAAAATAACAATGTAAAGCATTTGAAAGTCGTTATTATTGTACTTTTATCTGAAAATTCCTCTCAATATACAGAGTTATGTATTTGAATAAACTGTATACAAAGGTGGCAATTATACATCTTATTTTATACCACTACAATACTGCTTAGAAACTAAACTGCATTGCCTCCTATGATACTCCTTAGGCACAAAGAAGAACAAAAACATTTTCTAAATGCCCACGTTAATCCTGAATGACACATTTAAATTCTTGGGTCCTGTTACATAAATCCCTATTTCATTTTTTTTTAAAGTAGATGTTCCCTTAAAAGAAAGTTACAGAAGATTTTATTGCTGGTGGTGATTCTTTTTCTGTCTCAGAAAACAGTAGTAATATATGTATTGTGTGTAGATAATATTAAAGACACTAAAACATTAACTTTCTTACACACACAATGTATATAATCCAGCCTATAAACCCTGTTGCTAATGTCAGTTTGTATTTCGTTTTTCATCAATTAGTTTAGATAAAACTTTCCAGCATCTCTTCCTGGGAAAGGAGACTAGTCTATCCATATTTCTCCCCAGCACTGAACTATGCAATTTGCATCAATGTAAGTGTAATTTCAAATTGTCTTCTAGACTAAAACAAGTTACTCAGGTATTTTCCAAGAGAAAAATACCTTCTGTTTACACAGAGCCTGCTGGCTCTTAAAGTGACTGCTGACTTACCTTCTGTAGGCCTTCATGAATGAGGTGGCCTATGTCATCTATACTCCTTCCTAATCGCTTAGATAAATATGTGAAGATTGGGTCTTCTTTAGGTAGTAGAGGTGCAGAAAGATTAACTCTCTCTTGTACACCCTGATGAGAAGAAAATGATTCAAAAGACATATCAAAGGATATAAAAGATGACAAATAATTCAGTATCTTACAGTATTTATTTTGAAATACTAATATTTTAGAGTTTTAAGAAATAAGAGATGCCTGTAAAATTACAGAGCTGTTTGGAAGAAGAGAAGAAAGAGAAATAGTCTTTATAAGTGAGAGATCAACAGAAAGAAGAATGCAAAAAAAAAAAAAAAAAAATCCTAAAGTTCTCTACTTACTCTCAAGTGCTGAAAAGCATGTATACTATATGGAAGTTCTAGAATTTTAGTACAATCAGGTTGCTGAGGGTCTGGAGGGACAGGAGATTCTGTGTCTATATAATCTTCAGGACTAAAATCAAAAAGAAGCAATGAGTGAATAAAAGGTGAGATAAACAATACTTTATTTATTTATTTAGAGAAAGGGTCTCATTCTATTGCCCAGGCTGGAGTGCAGTGACATGATCACAGCTCGCTGCAGCCTTGATCTCCTGGTCTCACGCGATCCTCTCACCTCAGCCTTCCAAATAGCTGGGACAACAGGCATGCACCACCACAACCAGCTATATATTTTTTTATTTTTTGTAGACAGGTCTCACTATGTTGCCCAGGGTGGTCCTGAACTCCTGGCCTCAAGTGATCCTCCCATCTTGGCCTCCCAAAGTGCTGGGATTACAGGTGTAAACCACTGCGCTCAGTCAATAGTACTTTAAGAAATGTCAACTTTTTCTCATATTCTCATAGCATCTCAACTTTACAACCAATTATTAGTCAATATTCATACCTTTTCATATACCTGCCATGAAAAGTCAAACACTTTGGGAGTTCAAATTAAAGTCAACAATCACATAGAAAATAGTAGATAGATCACAGAATAAGATCACAGACTTTTTAATAACTAACATAACTGCTCAATTGTTTCTAGAAACGTTAAACCAATTTATACTTCCACTGACAGTCTCTCTACATTTTTACAAGTTACTATTTTTTTGATATGCTTTCCATTTTGGTAGATGAAAACTATCTAAATATTGCAACTTATACTTATTTGATCATTTCTGAGAAATTTTTTTCCATGTTTATTGGCCATAAGTAATGTTTTGTTAATTTTTTTTAAACTACAAATTGTTCAATTTTCTTTCTTTTTCTTTTTTTTTTTTTAAGAGACAGGGTCTCACTCTGTCACCCAGCCTAGAGTCTGGGCTTTGGTAGAGTGGCACCATCATAGCTCACTGTAACCTTGAATTCTTGGGTCAAGTGATCCTCTCAGTTTAGCCTCTTGAGTAGCTACAACTACAAGTGCACACCACCATGCCTGGCTAATTTTTACATTTTTTTTGGTAGAGACAGGGTCTCGCTATATTGCCCAGCCTGGTCTCAAACTCCTGGCTGTTGGCAATCCTCCCACCTTGGCCTCACAAAGTACTGGGATTACAGGTGTGAGGTACCACGCCCAGCCAAGTTGTTCCATTTTCTACTGTGGTGTTAAATATTTTAAATTAATTTATAAGAATTCTACATGTAGTATGTATTTTGAACTTTCAAATTCTAAAACTCATCTGTGATTGAAGCTTACTCTTATTACAGAAATAATTTCTTACTAATTTGAGAAAAGAATGTTTGAAAAAGCAATTTTATTTTTGGAAAGAGAACTTCTTTACCTGATGTCTTTGCTCTCCAAGGTTATGTATGTGCCATCATACAGATCCAGGTCCCCTAAGGGCACCTTGGCTTTGATGCAGTCTGGGTCTTCTTTATTATGTCTCTGTTCCAGTCCTGTGTCTCTGTCCTCATTCTCTTCTATGTGAATTTTTTGAGCAACTAATTGTTTCTGTTAAGAAGAAAGTAAGAACAGAATGGATTCTTCTAATATTTTAGTCTAATTTCCATTGAAGAGAAAGGGGAATTTGAGCTGAAGAAGTCAGAATCCTCTATGCAGGAAGACAAGAATTCTGAAAATGCCCTTAGTTAACTTAGTCAACACACACAAGCTTCTCAAAAAAGATGTCCACATACAGAAAGTAACAGAACACGACATTTATCATAGTGGCACACATGTGCCTTCATAATATGATTTCTGACTATCCATGAAGCACATCTACTAACTTAACTTTCCTGGCACAGAATGGCTCTGCAATGAAAACAAATCTGTCAAGCTGTTTCAATCCTTCAAGATATAGAGCATGCTGCTATTGGTACCTGGGTATTCCAGTTAATTCCTGTCACTCATAAAATATCTATTTTTTCAAATGTACAAATAACACAAATATCCATTTTTCAACACCCATATCTATCATATGCCAATATTTTATCTTCCCCCACCCCACTTTTTTTTTTTTGAGACAGTGTCTTGCTGTCACCCAGGTTGGAGTGCTGCAGTGGTGCGATCACAGCTCACTGCAGCCTTGACCTCCTGGGCTCAAGTGATTCTCTCACCTCAGCCTCCCAAGTAGCTGGGACTACAGGCATGTGCCACAATGCCAATTTTTTTTCTTTTTTTTTTGAGACAGGGTCTCACTTTGTCACTCAGGCTGAGTGCAGTAGTGCGATCACAGCTCACTGCAACCTCAAACTCCAGGGCTCAGGGGATCCTCTTGCCTTAGAGCCCCAGGTAGCTGGGACTACAGATGCACACCACCATGCCTGGCTAATTTTTTGGTTTTTTTTTTTTTTGTACAGATGGGGTTTTGCCATGTTGCCCAGGCTGGTCTCAAACTCCTGAGTGCAAGCAATCCACTTGCCTTGGCCTCACAAAGTACTGGGATTACAGGCATGAGCCACCATGCCTGGCCAACTTTTCTGTTTTTTATAGAAATAGGGTCTCACTATGTTGCCCAGGCTGGTCTCAAACTCCTGGGCTCAAGCAATCTTCCTACCCTGGCCTCCCAAAGTGTTGGGACTACTAGCATGAGACACCATGCCTAGCTGAGATTTTTTTTTTTTTAAAGAAAAAAAAAAAGGGAGGGAGTTCAAGGTATTCTTTAATGTTGTCTAAATCTCTAACTTCTTATAATTAATCTGAGTTTATGTGTCATTTCCACGTATATTTTTATAAAATACTATATTACCCATACTCTCCTAAAATATTACTTTCATTATATATGTATCCCAAATCAACATACAGCATTGCTTTGTAAGTTTTAAAATTTTACATAAATGGTATCATACTTAATGTATCTACAACTTTAAAAAAAAAAAGTATGTATGTTTTTTATATTTATCTACATTAGTCAGAATAGCTCTAAATTCTTCATTTAGATGGATGTATAAATATGTATTTATCCATTTTCCTGTAAACATTTATGTTGCTTCTTTTAAAAAAACTTTCTTTGCAATTAAAAATGCTACAATATTCTTATGTCTCCTTGTACACATGTGAAAAATTCTAGCAAGGGCAGAAATATGGGGTCATATGGATGCACACATTTTCAGTTTTATGCAGATGTGTCAATCTGCTTTTCACAGTGGTTATAACTATTAGAATTCTCCCAGTAGATCATAACACCTATATCCCCAGAATCTTACCAATGTTTGGTTTTGTCATACTTTTAAACTTATGCCAATCTAATAGGTATGAAACATTATTTTGTTATATTTATTATGGTAGTAGACTATGTTATTGTGATAGACTGTATTACTATTCACTAAAATCCTGCCCCTCCTTACAAGGTGATACATCACTGTTTTGCCAGACTCAGGCTTGGGCAATATGACTTGCTTTGGCCAATGTAACATAAGTCCCATGTGACCCTTTTACAGGAAAGCTTTTATAGAGTTAGTGTATGCTTCACCATGTTCTTTCTTTCTCCCTCAGCTACTGAGAATGCCAATATTACAGTGGCTACTCTGTCGGCCTAGGTCCTGGCTTATGGATCACAGTGACATGGTACAGATCCCCAACAGAGCCCCAAATGATCATTTAGCATGGCCTTGTTTTATGCCATTAAGATTCTGGGGTTATTAATGGGGACAGAGCCTACGATCTGTTTCCAATTATTCCCCCCACACTTTTCATGGAGATATGCTATCCTGCCCTACTGACTTCAAGGCATGACCACATGACTTGCTTTGGCCAATGGAATGTGAGTAGAGATGGTGTATATCACTTCTCAGTAGAAACTTTAACCAGGCTTATATTATTTGGTTGTTCTTCCTTGAGCCTTCACTTTCCTTCATAAGAACAGCACTGAGGTTCTGTGGCTATTTGTTGCCAATGCACAAGTTGACTAATACACTATAAAATATGGACTATATCAACTAATAGAATAATATTTAATAAGACTGAACATATTTTCATATGTTTATGAGATATTTTGTGAAGTGGCTGTTCAAGTTTGCTCATTTTTTTTCCCCAATAGGTTTTCTTTTTTAAAAAACTGATGTGTAGGAATGGCGTGGTGGCTTGTGCCTATAATCTTAACATTTTGGGAGTCCAAGGCTAGAGGGTCACTTGAGTTCAGGAGTTTGAAACCAGCCAGGCAATACTGCGAGACCCCATCTCTACGAAACAAATAAAAAGTTAGCCAAGCGTAGTGGTGGTGCTCGCCTGTAGTCCTAGCTACTGGAGAAGCTGAGGTAGGAGGACTGCTTGAGCCCAGGCAATGAGGTTACAGTGAGCAATGATCATCCTACCTGCATTCCAGCTGGGGCAAGAATGAGACCCTGTCACACAATAAACAAATAAATAAATAAATAAGAAATTAATCTGTAGAAATTTATGGAAAAAGTAATTCTATCAACTCATCCTCTATGAGTTATATGCATGGCAAGTATCGGCTTTTAGTCTGTAGCTTATCTTTTATCATTTGAAGAAAAACTTTTAATTATAAGGTGGGCAACTTTATCAACTGTTTTCTTAATGGTTTGTACTCTGTTTTATTTAAGAAATCCTTCCCAAACCTGAGATCGTAATTACATCAATCAATTACAGTCAAGTACCACATAAAGATGTTTTTGGTTAACAACAGACCCCAGTGGTGGTCTCATTAGATTACAATACCACATTTTTACTGTACCTTTTTTATGCTTAGATATACAAATACTTACCATTATGTTACAACTGTCTACAGTATTCAGTACAGTAACATGTTATACAGTTCTGTACACTTGTTATACAGTTCTGTAGACTAGGAGTCTATACAATATAGCATAGGTGACTGTATAGTAGGCTATATCACCTAGGTTTGTGTAAGTACACTCTATGATGTTCCCACAATGGTGAAATCCCCTAACAACACATTTCTCAGAGCATATTCCTGTCATTAAGCAATGTATGACTGTCTATCAATTTTTTTTTTTTAGTAAAAAGTTTCACTTTTCATACTTAGATTTTTAAACCGTATAGGAAATTTTTTTTTTGTACATTGAAAGGTATTTTTTTCCCACATGGACAGTTTCCTAATATCATTTATAAAGAGTCTATCCTGTACCCATTTATTCAATCAGTTTTTAAATTTCATCGTTTTCTAAAATCTTACATTATACCTAAGCTTTCAAATTTATTGATCTAGAGTTTTTATAGTATTAATAATTATGTCTTTAGTTTTAAAAATCTTTATCTTATATCTGCTTTTTCATCACTAACATTTCTTTTTTTCTGTCATTTCTCTTTTTTCCTGATAAGTCTTGCTGCTAGAGTTTGGTCTTTTTATTTTTTAAGTAAATACTGTTCTCTTGAGACTGTTTAATTTCTTATGTTATTATTTCCATATTTATATTATTTTAGTTAATTGGTTTATTATGTTTTCTAACTCATGTTGAATATTTAACTCATTTCTTTTCAGTCTTTTTTTTTTTTTTTTTTTAAAAGACAAGCTCTCGCTATGGCTGTCCTGTCTAGACTTAAACTCCTGGGCTCAAGCAATCTTCCGGCTTCAGCCTCCCAAGTAGCTGGGATGACAAATGTGAGTCACTGTGCCATTTATTTTAATAAATGCATTTTTCTATAAATTCATCTCTAAATATATCTAAGCTTCATTTCAGGATTTTTGAAATGAAGTGTTCTCACCATAGTCTAAAGTTTTGTGATTTTTCTCTTTAAACCATGGGTGATTTAAGAATGCCTTCAAGATTTTCAAAATTTGTGTTTTCTCTCCTTTTTCCTGGGCATGTGTATTTTATTTCTTTTAACTTAATTGTACTGTGATCAGAGAACATATTATGCATGATAACAAAACTTTGTAAATCACTTCCCTTATATCCTGGTAGTGGTCAATTCTGGTAAATATTCTACATTGAAAACACTGTATGTTCCCTTTGTTCAATTTAGGGCATACTCACTCCCTCTATATCTTTTTCTATGTCTTGCTGTATACATCTATGTATAGATTTATACAGAGATCCAAAGGTGTTACTTCCTGTATCTTATTTTTGTTGGACTTACCAGTTTCTGACAAAAATCTGCTAAAGTTGCTTCCTCTGGCTGACTTTTCATGTAATTCTGTCAGTTTCTGCTGTCTTGATATAAACATACTCACATCCATGAGGCCGAGTTGTTAGGTACACACAAGTATATGATATTATATTTTGTGGTAGGTTGTTAATATGTAGTATCTGTCTATTAATTATTTTAGGCTCTTACTTTGTCTGAGACAGGCCCACTGTTCTTTATCATTGTAAATCTAAAATTCTGAAAACCTAAAGCTTTAACAATTTTTTTGGCATTAAAATTCACATGGCAACAAAACCTGATGGAAAGCCATTTTACAGTCTTTATACTCTTAACACGCATGGTCATACATGTCACTAAAGAAATATTAATGTATCTGATTATAGACTTTGAAACAGCCCTGAGAGAAGTAGAATGTAATATAAAATATTTGTGCCTATCAC